TCGAAGAAGCAGCGATTCGGCAAAGGCGCCGAACAAACCCCGAAAGGGAAAGGAAAAGGATATCAGCAGAAGTGGTCACCTCCAGGACAAGGACGTCGATATCGACAATCCTGGTCCAATACGACCACACAATGGCGCCCATGGCAACCTTCGACACCTACGTGGACTACACAGGCCATGTCTTCTTGGCAAGCCACCCCGACACAAGCATGGACATCTCCTACGACGCCGACTTTCCTTACTCCGACACCATCACCGACCCTGCCACTGAACCCGGCTCCTCATGTATCTCAACCACGACCTCCTTGGAACACGAAGGGAGACAAAGGCTCGAAAGGCGCCGGCAAGAAGGGCAAAGCCGGTAAGTCCGGCAAGAAATAGGGACAGCACGGCCCAGGGTCTGCCGACCCTGGAGCCGACCATCGACCGACAGAGTTACACGACCGAACTTGTACATTGTGCTACGAGCTGGTCGGCACCTTGCCGGTGGTGCACCTGTCCTTCTTCGATGGTATCGGGATTGCCTCCGAAGCACTACGACGAATCAATGGGCACATTCTCCTGACCCTGTCTTGGGAGATCGACCTCGAATGTGCACAGTTTACCTCACAACACTTCGGATCCATACAAATGGGGGACGTGACACAGTTCGACATCGAGACCGTCGCGGAACACATCGATGCTGCTACTCTCCATCAACAATACATCATGGTGATCACCGCTGGACCACCTTGCCCCGATTTTTCGAACCTGCGTCACCGACCCCCAGGCTCCGAGGGCACATCTGGTTGGCTTTTCAGTCACATGGTGGGCATCGAACACCAACTCCGCAAACGCTTCACCGGCATCGCCATTGAAACGATCTTCGAGAACGTGGTCCCTCACCCAGATGTTCACGACAACTTGCTTGAGCTCACATCGCCACTGAGTATGGACCCCATAGTCGTCGATGCAGCCGACGCCGGAATCATGCACCGGAAGCGGCTGTGGTGGACATCGATCCCTTGGAACATCATCGAAGAACGCCTCCCACGACTCACACCTTGGTCCTTGGACTGGAAACTCGAGGGAGAATGGCACCGCCTACACAACCCGATCGCTACGGAATTGCAGGCACACATCAAGACGAAGGACTACTCCCTTCCCCCATGTCTCCATAACGACAAGAAACTTTTCCATTGCTTGACTACACCATCAACATCGACTACGGGCCGAGACCCGCCTAAACATCTCCGAGATCGCTCGACTTCACATGACGCGTGGCAACGATGGGAACAGGACAATCGTCGATACCCTGTGTGGCAGTACGAGGAGCGGTTCTTGGTGACACTACCCGATGGCACATGGTCTACTGCACCTGCTACACTTCGAGAACAACTTCAGGGTCTACCGCTGGACTACACCGCCACACTCGCCCAGGGCGACGAAACCAAACGATGCGTGGCTTTGGGCAACTCCTGGCATCTCCCCACGGCAGTTTGGATCATGTTCCTGCTGCTTCTCGGGACCGTCAACGCGACCATCCCCGACACACCACGATCTTCGGCTCTCCAGCAGATTACTGCCTTGTGGCTACACCACAAAGTCCCTTTCGGTCCTCCTCCACGTTCCACGACACACGACTACATGCCTCAGTTCTCCTGGACGGAACACCTCGATTGGGCACTTCATCGTGATACACACTTGTCCCCGAAGACGCTGGATCCTACCCTCGAGTGGTGTTTACAACATCGACATGTGTTTCACCCACTCGTAGATTTCCAGAAAGCGATCATCGATGACATCCGCGAGCTCGTCGAAGACATGGAGGATCACACCATGGCTTGGTATCACACACTCCCAGAACACGTACAACGAGCATATCGACACAAGGATTCGGTCACACAGATCCCAGTACTCGTTCACTTACTACGACTGATTCAATACCCACAAATAGAGTTGATCTATCGCGAACTCTCCGAAGGTTTCCCCTTGATGGGCAAGTTGACCCCAGGCATCAACTGGCACGTTCGACAGGACCTTAAATACCTCGAACCCACACCGATCGACGAGTTTGGTGACAAGAACCGACAGTACATCCACGACAAGATCGAGAAGAATTCCATCGACGAACATTGGGAACTGATGCTGGACGAAATCCTGGCCGAAGTCGACATGGGACGCATGAACGGACCGTATCAGGCCCCCGACTGGTGGCCCCGTGCCGCCACGGTACCACCCAAAGGGAAACATCGAACCCTGTTACCACTACCACACTCCGATCCCTACATCGCCATGGCTTTCAGCATCGAACAGACCGGCAGCGACGGCAACAACAAAGTCAGACGGGGCGAGGATTGGCGCCGGAGTGGCCACAATGCGACCTGCACCATGCACGACCAGCCGTACCATCACACACCCGACCACTTTATTTCCTTGGGACTCGCCACACTCCGAACCGATCACTCGAAACCCTTGTCTGTTTGGGGACATGACCACGACGGGGCTTATCGACAACTTCCACTTCGTGATCCTCGAGAAGCCTATGTGATGTTGTTGACCCCGGACGGCCCAACGCTGTGGAGCCACAATGTCCTTCTTTTCGGATCGGCCGCAAGTGTCTGGTCTTACAATCGATTCGGCGACATTCTCGTAGCCTGCAGCCGAACGATGATCTTGTCTCCGGCCATGCACTACGTCGACGACTACGGATCCATGGAGGACTCCGACCTCGCCAAAGGCAGCTTCGAGTCCTTCGAGGAGTACAACGGATGTCTCCAGATATCGATGAAGCCCAGTAAACGCCAACCACCGCAAACAGCACATCGTATACAAGGAGTCATCATTTCATCCGACGACAACAACTTGGTCCTCACACCTTGCCCGAAGAGAGTCGAAAACATGTGTAGACAAATCGACACACACCTGACTACTTCGTCACTGTCCCCCGAGCAAGCCAGGAAGATGGCCGGGAAGTGCAACTTCCTGACTGGGAGACTGTTTGGCAAGGTGGGTCGAGCGGCCTTGAAGGCACTTTATTCTCGAGCTCACTCCTATTCACATGCCCTCGACAAGCCTACACGCTCATCACTACTAGCCCTCAAGGACATCATACAGCACTGCCGACCAATGACGATACCACGCACACCGACCAAGCCGACATACAGCGTCATCTATACGGACGCATACTTCCGGCTTGGCTCCACCATCTACAAGCCGGGAGACAGCGACATCCCTAATTGGGACTCGAAGTCGACGTCCGACATCGAAAACGGCTGGGCAGCGGTTTGCTTCCACCACGGTGACGTGCGAACCGCCGCCTACTTCCAGGGTCGTCTGCCTTCACTACTTGTTCGACAGTTTGCCTCCGACCAGGCCTTCATCTACCTTCTCGAAGCATGGGTAGCGATACTGGCACCGTTGGTCTTCGAACCATGGCTGGATCAGTTCTACGTTCAATGCTGTGACAACGAAGCCTCCCGACATGCCCTGCTCAAGGGCGTTGGCAAACATCAACCTTTGAATTGCCTCATTGCGGCACATTGGACTTGGCACAATCGACGCAGTATTGCACATCGACTTGAGCGGGTACCCACCAAGGCGAACATCTCCGACGGGATCAGCCGCTTTGAGAACGTTCCGGAGTCTGAGAGCTGGACTAAACTCGATTTACCTCTCAATGCACTGACGAGTAGAGCTGCGAAGATCATAGGAGATATTCATTTTGCTTCCTCGACGGGTTTTTCCGACTTACCCGAAATTCACCGATTGCACGACCATTTGCTTTCGATGTTACGTTAATGTTCTTTCGAGTGGCGTTCGCCTGCGATGGGAGGACGCGACCACACTCGATGGGAACCAGTCGGTCCTCCCAGCGGAAGGAAAGATCAACACCGATCTGTAAGATCGACTACTTCGATCTGTAAGATCGAAGCGCAGACTTAACGCCACCGAAGCGGAAGCAGTTGGAAAACACCTCCGCTTCAGCCAGGGATTCATGGCCTTTGTGTGAGAATTTCGTTGTCGTGTAGCACACACTTGTTTGTGCGAAGTGACAACTTCATATCTCACTTAAACACCGAATCGGTCAGGGGATTGACTCACCGATTCATGTCGAATGATTGTATACTCCGTGGCCATTTTGGCGAAAGCTGTTACAGCTTGAGCGAAATTTTGTTTCACCCACCCGTCCCGACCCTCTTTCGTATTACTTTCAATTTTCCTCTGCTTCCTGTCTGCGAGAACCGCCTGGGAACCAGTCGGTCCTCCCAGCGGAAGGAAAGATCAACACCGATCTGTAAGATCGACTACTTCGATCTGTAAGATCGAAGCGCAGACTTAACGCCACCGAAGCGGAAGCAGTTGGAAAACACCTCCGCTTCAGCCAGGGATTCATGGCCTTTGTGTGAGAATTTCGTTGTCCCTAAAACCAAAACCTTAAGCAAATCTACTGTACGAGACCCCAGACCCACAGGAAGAAGTTCGTGCTGACAGGCCATGCACCATCGGCCCAAACCCCCGGGCCATAACGGTTTAGGGTTTAGGGTGAAGAGAAACCAAAATTCAGGGGTCTGAGTACGTATAAGAACTGTCACTTCTTGTTTTGCAGAGCATTTGTTCTATCCGTCCCCAAAGCCCATTATGATACATTAAACTAGGACAAAGACTTTGACACAGCTCATGATTGCACGAGCTCACTCTTACAATGGCTTGCCAGCAGAATCCCGATTTAGAGATTCGCGTGTATGACAATCCTAAACCCAGTCTACATCCTAAACACCAAAAACCTCCAAAGCCACAAACCCGTAACCCTGGAAGCTCTAAACCACGAACGGGCTAAGCCGTAAGACCCTAAGCATCCAAAGCCCTAGTCCCTAGAGCCCCTATAAGCCTAAACTCGTGAACCGCCCCAAAACCCTAACACCCTAAAGGCCCTGAGTACTAAGGAAAGCCCTAAGTCCGATTTCCGAAGCTTCAGAAAATGCCGGATCCCAGAGCCCTAAACCCTGAACCCTTGCCAGGGCCGTGCCACCAGTGCTTTAAGAGCAGAGCTGCAGCGGCTGATTCGGGACAGGGCTTCTAGGGTTTATGCTTTACCGTTTACGGTTTTTGTCACCTGGGACCTGGTTTATGGGTCCTATGTCTGTTAGAAGAGCTCTATAAGGGTTTTGTATGGGTTTGGGGGTTTCGGGTTTAGGGGTAGACACCTGATTCACCCTCTTCCTGAATATGGGCTACGGTTTGTAGTGGGGGTCTTATATAATTGGTTTGTTAACCGGGGGTGTGCATTATGGCATCAGGGTTCTGAATAAGGAGTTCTTTTGTTGTTTTTTTTGGGGGGTTTCCTGTTTTCCTGCTCTTGGTTTGCTGTGTTGGGCCGGCACATAAACTCTGTGGCTTTCGGATATCAATCAGTGTTCCGATTCAAGCTTAGAGCAGGGTGGTGTAGGGTGTATGGGTTGTGCCGGTTTGTCGACTTGTTGTTGCTCTTCTTCTTTGTCATTGGTCTCGTCTTTGATGTTCTGAATGCTGTGGCGACTGCGGCTACTCATGTTGCGATAGCTACGTCTACTACGGTTGTTGATATAAATCCTGTGTTGCCTTAGTGACCCTAGACCGTGGGAATTCTGGTATGATTCTTATTATGAGCAATGCAGGGTTTATATCATCAATCGTATTGATGTTGAACGATCACGTTCCAGGTGCTTCTTGTTATTGTTGCCGCTCAACCAACCAGGTCGATGCTGCCAATGTAAGGGCCTCAACAGTTAGGATAGGGTTCCTTCCCTCTAAAGGGGTTTATAGGAGATCGATTATATTGGGTACCCTATTTGGGCATTAATCATTAGCACAGGTTTTCTGCGGGGTTCCTTATTTATCATTGTAGTAAAATATACCCCCCAAGCCCTATTTTACTTACCAAGGCTCCTTTTGTTTTTGTTAATCCATTTTTTATGGGTATCGCAGCGTGTTTGAGGGTCTCGGCTGTTTGCGAAAACCTAAAACCCTGAATCCCCTGAAAAATCCGACTTCAACTCAGGGCACTGGATTGAGGGCTTGGGGGTCCACCTGATGCGGCTCTGCAGTTAGTGGTGCCCTTATTCAATAACCCTATGTTCTGCAAGCCCCGGTTGCTGCAGGAAAGACTGTCTACGGCCATCAATGAGACGGACAGCCGGGAGCTAAGTTCATCCTAATAGTCGAGACGCCAATCGCTGAACGTGAAACTCCTAAAGCCTCAAACCCTGAAGCCCTGACGTCCCACACCCTATGCCCCTGAAGCGCCAAGGTCCTAAGCCAACACAACCCCAAAAGGCCCACCATACCCAAACCCTCAAATTCAGTTCCAGGTTCCTTTCAGCAGCACCACCGGGCCAGATCGAACAACATCGAAATGATGCAGGAGAGCTCCTATACGCTAGACCCTAAAGCCTCTAGCCGCGCCGGTCGCATAATGCCCTTATACCTTGTCCCTGTTTTATCAAGTATCTTGAAAACCACCCCTAGAGTAACCTCGCAGTTTACTCAAACGGGTGGTCCGGCCCTACTTCCAGATCCTAAAGACCTTCAAACCCTGAATCCCTAAACGCTTCATGCCCGAAGCCTCGAACCCGATTGAGACAGTACCCATTGAAGTCCGGTGCCCAAAGCTCTAAAGCCAAAACCCAAGTTCAGGGTTTAGGGTTTAGGGTTTAGGCCCTAAACCCTAAACCCTAAACCCAAAGCCACAGGCTATGAGCTGGATGCAACTGGTGTCGTCGGAGCGGCCCTGCCCTCAGCATGTTCCTGGCCTTGTATTTTCCTAACTTGGCTTCGGCACACGGGGATCAGGGGTTTTACAAGAGTCAGTCTCCGGGAGCTGTCCCAACCCTGACCAACGGCTCAACCCTAAGCTGGGCAAGCCACTTGCTGACCTCATCAAATAGGAAGCACTGCAGGAAGTGTCGTCCTGCCCCCCCTCTCCCGGGGTTGTGGATTTTGTGGTTTACGACTGGGAGAGGAACTCAGGTACAGACCACAAGATTGTGATGAGATCGCTCCTGGGGTGATCAACATACGAACGGGATTCACCATCCCCATGTCCGTAGCCATCATCATCATCAACATCAGTGTCATCGTCGTCAGCATCGTGAGTATGTTGGCCTTCGTTTCTTTTTTAGTATCGACTTATCGACTACAGCTAGGTTGGATTGAAACTCGTGGCCCAATGCATTTTTGCTGAGGCTTTGCGATTGCCGGTTTGTGCTGTGGTGCTGGTGCCTGCAGCAGCAGTTGTTTCGTGAACCCTTCCCTGATCGTTGCATTTCATGTCTGGCCCGTCTCTTCGGTACCGCCGCGAATGCAAACTGCCTAACACTGCGTTGGGACCGAAACACTTACCAATAGCATTCCTTGGGGTTGCCGATGTATAGTTGTCGTACAATGCACCACAAAGCCCTCTTCATTCAGGGGCCTACTTTAGTGAGCCCTATCACCCCTCCACTTCCGGAACTCTAAGCAGACTGGGTTTGAATCCACGATTTGAAGTACCCTCGCGCTCCACCACCTTCGCAGCTTCGCAGCTTTCCAGGGTTTCTGGCATGCAAATGCCGTTCACATGGTACGCTTTCGGTTTTTGTGATTAGTGGACGCCCTGCCGCCATGCCTGAAACCAAGATGTTGCAGCTGATCTTAAGCCTGCATGGACCCTCCTGTATCCGAAAGCTGTTGCCTGGTAATATAGGGGCTTTAATGGATGGCATATCGACAGACCCCCGTATTTTCCCAGTTCCCTAAATCTAAACCCGAAGTCCCACGCCCTAGACTTCTTGACTGTGGAGTGTAACCCTCTAGACCACAAATCCTAAACAAATAAGCCCTAGACACCGAGACCCTAAACTCCAATCTCTCCGAAACCCCCAACCCCTAAACCGTAACCCGCAAACCGACACTCCTCCTGAGGACTCAGAGCGATGCTCCACGCCTATCGCGGCCCCCTGACGCAGATTTTGGGTTAAAGATTCAGGTTTCTTTGGTTTTGAGTTTCGGGTTTGGTGCCTGTAGCCCGAGGCCCGACACAGTACGATAGGTGGTTGTACTGGGGATGCACATGTTGGGTTTCTCTCTGGGGAAACTCATAGTGAAAACATACTACTTCACACATCTCTCTTTTCAATCAAAGGCCTTAGCCTTGAGGAGTTTACGCAGGCACTCTCGCAAGGTTGAGTTGTGTGAGACCCTTAAGCCTAGCCGTTGGCAGTAATTCGCTGCAGGCCAGGAAACACCGTCGAACAAAAGCAAACAGCAACCCTAAAACCCCCCTCGGCCCCTAAACCCTAAACCAGTAGCCCAAGGTGCCTCTGCCACCAGGACCGTGGGAGCCTCCCAGGCCGGGCCTACAATGGAAGCTTGAAGAAGTCATGCTAGGATGCCCAGTAGTACCCTTATTCCCTTTTTGTAGTCCTAGGTTCCTTATAAAGTTACCCAATACCAAAAAGAGAGGCCTTTTTATTCTTAGGTTACTGGGTATCCTAGATGAGGTCTAGGGTGTACTATGGGGGCCTAAACAATTGGCTATACCATTTTGGGGGCTCCTTATTGTAGTTATAGCATAATTTGGCCCCAAAACCATTTCCATGTATTAAGGCCCCTATATTAGGGGTTTTTGGGGTTTAGGGTTTTTGCTCCCACTACAAAACTCTGCTAGAGACGCATTGGAACTTATTACAGGACGGCCAAAAGTTTACGGTTGAGGTTGTTTGTCTTGGAGGCTGGACAGGACATGTTGCAGCCCGAGTCCTGGCTGCTAACTGCTGCTCCATGCAAGATCGAGCCCAAATTGGGCAACTTCACACAAAGAAAGAAAGGCAAGCAGCTCATGGAGAAGCAGGTCGGTTGTCTTCTTTGGCTTGATGGAGCCAAATTCGAGTCCAAGGCAATTGTGAACCCGGCAACCGGCGCGATCAAGGTTGCTTGCACCAGTGTACCTAGGGGTTTAGGGTGTAGATTTAGATAGGTTTAGGAGTTTAGGGTTTAGGGGCTCAGGAAGCAGGGTGTACTCCTTTAACCTGAGGGCTCCTAATTGTCGTTATGCGCAATCACGTACCCCCTCAAAAAAAGGAAGACTTGGCATTGGTCTTGTTAGGGCCCCTATAGGACCAGCTTTCACCATTTTGGGGGGAGCAGACAGGTAAGTTCAGGTCGTGCACATGACACCATGCCTTCTCCATGAGCCTTCAAGAAGTGTTGCTCTCAAGGTTCTGGAGTCGGGATACTTGAAGGTTCAGGGGTAGTTATAAGTGGGGTTACAAGTCCCCTAATATGGGTTATACGTATAGCTACACTACTTATAGCCCCACCTATGAGCACTCATGAAGCTCCAAGTATCCGTGTCAACTACAAACATAGGCCTGAACAACACTAGCGTGATTCGTTAGGGAACTGTAATATAACTTTTAGCGTAAACTAGCGCAAAAACCGCAGTTCAACCACTGAGGGCTACCTACATTACTTAAAACCCTAGAACACCCTCGAGCCCATACAGAACCCTTTGAGGCAACCCCGGTCAGACAATCAAGGCCCCCATAATACATAAGGGCCTTAATAATTTTCTATACTATTTTGGGGATTCCTGATTATATTTACAGCATAATATACCCCCAAAGCCCTATTCTACTGTAATGATTAAGGCCCCCACTATAGAACCCTACTGTAGATCCCCTATAGACCCCTTTAAGGACCCCTTTAAAGGGAACCCAGAGTCTAATTCTTAAGGCCTCCCCATACTACCGGCAAGTCAAAGGGGAAGGAGGGACCCTTAATGGGGCCCCTACCCTATAATGGGTATATAATAGCTATACTAAGGGTATATACCTAGGTGTCCTTATTAAGGGTCCCTCCTTTTACCCCTGGAGCAAGTGCAGGAAGCCGGTTCCGCCGCCTTCGCTGGACGTGGCGAAGGCCACCAGCCCAGATCCAGTGCTCTGGGTTAAAGGTTGCGTTAGGTTTAAGTGGGTTAGGGCTCTTTTAAGGAATGTAGTAGGGTTTAGGGATTAGGGTGGGGGTTCTATCCGGGTTTAAGGTTGCGGTACTATCGCAGCTTTAGAAGACCTCGAAGGGTTCTATACGGGCTCCCTGAGTGCTAAATACTATGATTGGGATCGAAACCTGAAGGCCATATTTTGGTCACACACAATCTGTGAGTGGCCCTCTTCAGCATAAGCCTCTACAGGCAGCAACCATTCTGGACAGAGGGAGTCCTGCTGACCAATTAACGGCGAATAGAATTTAGTGACAGTGCTTTGAGGATTCGGGTTTCTGGGGCTTAGTATTTATGGGCTTGAGGGTTCCTAAACCCTAAGCCCTATAAGCCCCAAAACCCCAAATTGAACAGTAAGTCCCCAAACCCTAATCTCTAAGCCCCTAAACCCGAGGGGCCGAGGTGGAAGATCGACCCTCTCAGCGAACAGGACTTTCACGAGTATCAGGGAACACGAGTCAACGTGCCAGGAACGAACGGCTGTTGTACAGCGTATAATAATCTGTACCAAAATCCGGTCCTATTGTTTCAGTGTTTCAGGCCCCCCAAAATACAGGGGAATCGCAGAACTCCACCCGAAACCCTCAACAAAAAACTTGGAACTCGCAGCCCCTACACTAAACCCTTGTAGTACATACCATGTACCATATACCATGTGCCATATACTTTATAGTATATGACTATGCACTATCTACACCCCGAAGCCCAAACCCTGACCCCTAAACCCTCAACCTTAAACCCCTAAGCCCAAGCCCTCACCTGGGTGGCTGTCAAAATAAGCGTACCTTTTTTGGGTCCCTAATATAGTACGGCACCTAATATGTGGGGTACCCAAAAAAGGACTTTAATTTTGACAACTACCCACCTTGCTTCGTCAGGGGGAGAGCCAGGACACCTCGGACAGTGGGCCTCCCAGCGGAACCTCGCGGCTCCGCATCAAGGACTCCAGTGTTCCGGGTTTCGATGGGTTCAGTGTTTAGGGGTTTTGGGTTTGGGGGTTCAGGGGTTTACGGATTTTTTGGGTTTTAGGGGTTAGGGCTTCGAGTTTATCAGAAGTTCCGTGAGTCGAAATTAAACCGGAACCACAGGGTGTGAAGAACGCGTAGTACATATAGTACTACTACCCCCTGCTCAGTGATACCGAGGTTGGAGTCGGTTGGAGTTTGATGTGTTGAATGCGTGGCATTCAACTTATATAATTTCAAATCGGGCACACGTGACCCCACCATGCTTGCAAAGTCAACCTTCTCTTGGAGAGGAAACTCAGCAAGTAGGATAGAAGGTAACTGCTCCTTCCGCTGCGGTTGGTCCCGCATTGTCCGCCGGACCGCCAGGCAAGCTCCGAAAGGTCAAGGGTTTTGGGTTGAAAGCTTAGTGTGTGTGACAGTATGTGGTTCAGGGTTAGGTAGGACCTCAAGACCGTTTGTTAGGCAGCCGCCAAGAAGAAGGTTACATTGCAGTGCTCTTCATGCAACTCCTGGATGCTTCATTGAGGAACAAAGACCTGATCTGTGGCTGCAGGCACCTGCACCACTGTGTTGGACAACGAAGTTCAAGCTCTGTGCAAGAAGATCGGCACACCGAACCCGTAACCTCAGGCCTATGAGAGCCTGCTGATTTGTTGCTAATGCAATGCGAACAGCTAAGTCGAACCGTGTTGTAGAAGCCTGAACAGCCGTACCTATCATTCCTCAAGGTGCGTACTAGAGACATCTATAGTATATCTGTATTTTTGCAGTATCACCCCACGTCCAAAAAACTCTGGTTTACGCATAGTAGAAGCTATAAAGCTGGAACATGATAATCCCCATACCCTCAATGTTAAGAAGAAAGGGATCCTGGCACTAATCATCCCAAACCCATGTTCCAGCTTCCTGGGGTTCGCTATACCCATAGGCTCCACAGTAATTTCTTTTTGGGGTTACCTTATAGGCCTCTAAATATGAACCCCAAAAAGGAACTACTATGGAGCCTCTGGGTCTCGACAGGGGCAGGATCCCCTCAATCGCCTCCGAGGAGTTGGACCAGCGTGCGACCTCCAGTGATACAGAAAGCCACCTGGCATCGGTCTACTTGGACTAGGATGCCCAGTAGTACCTTATTCCCTTTTTGTAGTCCTAGGTTCCTTATAAAGTTACCCAATACCAAAAAGAGAGGCCTTTTTATTCTTAGGTTACTGGGTATCCTAGTGGAGGTTCAGGGGTAGTTATAAGTGAGGTTATAAGTCCCTTAAATATGGGTTATAAGTATAGTTACCCCACTTATAACCCTACTTACCCTACTTATAACCCTACGTATAGGTACCCATGAACCTCCAAGTAGCCAATGACTCAGAGGAGGCCTGAAATGTTATAAACCCGAAGATCTATACCCTGAACCCTAAACCCTAACCCCCAGACCTCCAAACCCTAAACCCGAAGCCCTAAACCCTAAGCCCCTGAGCCCTTAAACCCTAAACCAGAAGCCCAAAACCCCGAAGCCCTTGAACCCTATAGCCCTAAGCCGTAAGCCTGGCTTCTGGGGTCTGGGGTGTAATAACTCGGAGATCTCTCGAGCTAGAAAAGCGAAGCAGCCCTCATGCAGAAGCCACCTTCGACATCGAGTTGGGCACAGTTTGGTGTAAATTTCCACGAAAACGAGCATGGTTTCTGGGCGTCTATCTTCCATGTTCAGGAATGAGGGGGCAACTCGCGTGCTTGCGTAAAGGTTAAGGTTCTGGAAAGGGCATTGCCATGCCAGCTCCTTTCAGATTGTTGAGGGTTGAGGATGGTTCAGGGCCGAGGATGGTGTAGGTTGGGTACGGCCCCCCCACGCAGTGAAAGTTGAGTAATATTCATTATATAGGTATATTAGGACCTTAATAGTAGCTTTATTATTGACTCTTACTGTATGGGGGCAGTACCTACGGTGTAGGGTTGAGGGTTTGGGGTTTCAGGCTGTGGGGCTACGGCTTTAGGCTTAGGGCTTTGGCTTTAGGGTGCAGGGCTTGGAATTTACCGGGACTAGTGTCCTTACTTGGGTGTTCCTTAGGATTCAGGTGTTGTTTTTGCAGTACAGGCCCAGGGGGGTTGTTAAACATCTGTTGCTTATCTGGGGCAACGTGGTCCAGGTCAGGGTTTGGGGTGCAGGGTTTCTCTGATGTTGTGGAGAGTGTAATTTGTGGGTATCAAATACTGCAACTAACTATGGTATGGCCCCTGTGTTGTTGCTGCACCATGGCACCATTAGTCGCTTTTCGAGGTTACCACAATCAGCTCAGCTCGCGCAGCATCCAATCCTTACGCGATGACCTGGTGACGGATTCTTGGGTCAAAGCTGAACATGGATAAGCGGTGTACCCCGTACTAGTAAAATAAGAGACCATTCAATCTTAAGTGCCCCGCAAGAACCTTGTGCTAGTAGCATGATTGTTATTGTTGGGTATACCGCATAAGTACCAATGATTCTCGTACGCCGGTTATTGTCCCGATACTTGGCGGACTGTTCTGTGCTTGGTTCCTTTATGTTTGGACGGCATCTTCGGACGGAAGGAATGTGTGGATTGTTCGAATTGCGTGGGTCCAAACCACATACATGGTATATACGGATCCCTCAAAGTGATGCTCTCACAGAGCCCATTTTGTGTGAAGCTGTGTGGATTGAGGGCTGGGCGGTGCAAGGGGACTCTTTGACCTATCTGTCTTACAAGTTTTCAGGGGCATGGGCCATGGGTCCCTTAAACCCTATAGACCCTACAGACTCTAAACTGTAAATCCACAAGACCCTAAACCCTAAACCCGTAGACCTTAAACTGAACCTAAACCCTAAACCCTAAACAAAAACCCCTAAACCCTAAACCCTAAATCCACAGGAATTACAAATTTCCCAATTCTTGAATCGTCTCCACTAGCTCCTACAGCAAGAGGGGAGCCACCCAGGGCCAAGATCCCTTCGGCTTATAACATAACATACTATATATTGGGGACCCTAATATGGTACCCTAAATAGTACGATCCTTATCATAAGGATCCCAAAACAAGGTACCCCTGATTTTTGGGAAACTCCCATATCATGTTAAGTTACAGTCTATTCTATTATAATCCCTTCCCCCTAATATTGAATTGCAGGAAGGGGGTCCCTCCATAGAAACTCGGAAAGTGTTTTTATTATTAGGGGGTACTTTTATCTTACTTTTGAGGGCTTTTGCTATTGCCCTGCGCAGGCTTTTGCTCCTGCGCCTGCTCTTGCTCTTGCTGTTGCTCCTGCTCTTCCCTGCAGTTGCTATTACTCTTGCTCTTACTTTTGCTCTTACTCCAGCTCCTGATCTTGCCTTTGCTCTTGCTCCGAACCCCTAGTGCAAGTTCGGTTTAAAAGGGCAGGGGTGATTTCGGAGGATTCGCCCCAATGTGTTATTATTAGTAGGAGGGTGTTGAATAAAGGGGTCACATTATGTGATGAAAGCACATGTGTAGCAGCACGTACGGGAGATTGAGGCTTTTAGGGCAAGGCAAAGGACCTGACATTTCCGATTTCCTGCACCTCAGAACCCCAAGCCAAAGCCATACGACCTCAACCTTGGATTTAAGCCCTAAACCCTAAAACCCTAAAACCCTAAAACACTAAAACCCTAAAACCCTAAAAACCTAAACCCTAAAGCCCTAGAGCCCTCAAGCTTGGATTTAAGCCGCAGCCTTCATGAGGAGCCTGTGCCACCGCGGCCGCTGGACGTGGACTCCCTTCTGGAGGCGTTGGAGGAGGCCAGGTGACTGGTGTTCAGGGGTTAGGGCTTGGGATTTAGCGGTTGGGAGAGATTCGCTGCTTTGTGAGGGGTTTTAGGGGCAGGCATGGCTGCAGTTGAAGCTTCAGGGGCTCTTGTGTTTCGGGTTTATTTAGGGTCTGGTGGGTTGATTGCATGGGGGCTTTTGCACTTAGGGGCTTGCGGGATCCGGGTTTAAGATGCTAAGCAAGGCTGACGTCTTCAGACGCTGCATGCGTAGGTTTTGCATGATTGTGGATTTGGGGGTGGCAGTCTCCGTGGTTTGGTACAGGTTCTGTGGGACATGTGTACAGCGTTCGTTTGAAGATTCGATTTGGGTTTCAAGTTTGTGTATGAGGATTACTTCAAGGTCTTGCACATGGCAAGGAAAGCTTGACAGTGAGGGGAGGGAAGCCGAACGAACGAAGACCCTCACTCCAAGCCCCCGATTCCTGGACTTCGTGGATGGCCGCTCAATACGAGGCAGGCCCCAGCCTCCTTAGACGAGGGGTTCAGCCCTGCTTACCCCAACCACGATGCATAGATACATTGCGATACATATTCGTCCAGAGACGGTATGTATTCATGCATGCACACACACACACACACACATATATATATATATATATATATATATGCATGTCTACATGCATCCAGACATAAACCCATGCAGGTATATGTGCATACGTGCATACCTGCGTGCATGCACATACAATACACAATCATACACACACACACACACAAACACACCTGCCCACCTACATACCTACCTGCCTACCTACCTACATGCATGCATGCATGCATGCACACATTGACATGCATGCACATTGCCATTGTGTGCGTACGGGTGTGCATGCCTGCATGCATGCATGTGTGTATATATAAAGAGATCACATTTGGTTGAGTTCGCTCCAAGTATCCAGTCGCATGTGCTAAGCCCATAGGTCGTCGTACTTATTTACGTCTATATGAACTGTTTATGATTTCTCATGTCGTATATAAAACATATCATATGGGTGGTTGTCAATATTAGGGTCCCTTTTTGGTCCTTATCAAAGTACGGCACCTACTATTTAGGGTACCCAGTTAGGGACCATAATTTTGACAACCGCCCATCCATTATTACTCTAGCCGTGAGCCCGAATGTCTGAAAGCCCCAGGGCTCTCCGACCCTGAAAGTTTGAGGCCACACCCGATAGCCCTAAAGCCCGAAACATAAGGCCAAGCGCCAGTACTATAGGGGCAGAAATAATTACCGATACTATTTTGGGGGTATTTTGGGGGTTCCCTTCTTTTTTAGTAGAATGGGCCCCAACATCCTATTCTAATCATCAAGGCCCCGACAACCCAACCAAAAGCACCCGAAGCCTAAACCCTACTCGCTGAACGCAAAGCTGATTCCTTAAATCCCGATTTTTCTAAGGGTCCATGTACCCGAATAGTATATACTTTAGCCTGAAAGTAATCCCTCTATAGGTACTTTGGGGCCAAAGTCTATACTACTTGGGTACATGGACCCTTATACCCTAAACCCATATGGATCCCTTATAGATCCCTTTAAAGGAACCTTTATGGAAACCCTTGAACTTGGAGGGTCGGGGGACTTAGTAACTGGTTATTTTAGGGACTTATAAGTACCATAACCCCAATTAGGGTCCCTTTTAGGTTGCTTATAAGTCTACTTACTACCTACTTACTAAGTCCCCCGACCCTCCAAGAAGGAACCCCTATTTGGGCACATGGGGACCTTTTGGGCTTTTAAGCCACAGCCAAAGGAGACGCTGAGCCGGAAGTCGCCTTCGCTGTCGCCAGAGAGGCTTCCGAGATCCTGGCAAGTCTTGCTTAGGGTTTTGGAGTTGTTGGGTTTAGAGATTTTGGGCTTAGGATTTAGGGTTTTTGGGTTTAGAGAATTTTGCTTAGGGTTTAGGGTTTTGGGGTTTAGAGATTTTGGGCTTAGGGTTTAGAGTTTTTGGGTTTAGAGATTTTGGGCTTAGGGTTTAGGGTTTTGGGGTTTAGGGTTAGGGATTTTGGGCTTAGGGGTTGGGGTTTGGTTTTCAGGTTTACATACGATTTAGGGTTTGGGCTTTAGGGTTCTGGGTTTAGGTTATAGGGGTTTAGGGTCTGGGGCCTAGGGTTGAGGTGCGTAGGGTTCAGTCAGGGCTAGGTTTTTTTGTTGGTCATGGGGTCCCTCTATTTATGCGGCCTGATGTTGTTTGCTCTGTATTTGGGTCCCCGGTTTTCCGAAGCTCTCACTTTCGGTAGATCTTAGGCTTTAGGGCTTCGGGGTTCAAGGTGTAGAAGTTGGCGACCCTCATAAAACCCTAAACCCCAAGCCCCTTTAAGCCTTCATAAAGCCCTAAACCCTAGCCAGGTGGAGGAGAGCACAGCTCTGCCGGAGGGATCGAGTTTAGACTTCAGGCTTTTGAAGGAGCCCATACAGGCCGCATTTACGGGTTCCTTTAAAGGAGTGTAGGGTTTAGGGTTTAGGTCTAGGCTTGGAGGTGTAGGGATGTCGGGTTTGGGGGTTCACATAGTCCACCATTCGTCCTTTAAAGTTCAACACTTCCACAAGTTCGATAGAAAGCTTAGCTGAATCCCTAAATCGTCAACCGTAACCCCAACATACCTGTAAACCGCAAGCTCTGAACCCCAAATCCTGAACCCTAAACCCTAAACTAAACCCAAATCCTGAACCCTAACCCTAAATTAAGCCCTAAATCCTGAACCCTAAAGAACCCTAAACCCTAAACTATGTCTTAAATCCTGAACCCTTAAGCCTTAATCTAAACCCAAATCCTGAGCCCTAAACCCTAAACTAAGCCTTAACCCTGAATCCGAAACGAAGCCCACATCCGAACCCTAGACCTTAAACTAAGCCTTAAATCCTGAACAGTAAAGCCTAAACTAAGCCTTAAACCCTGAGCCTTAAAGAACCCTAAACGCTAAACTCATCCTTAAATCCTGAACCCTAAGCCCTAAACTAAGCCTTAAAATCCTGAACCCTGAACCCGAAACGAAGCCCTACAGAAGAATGCAAGCATTTGCATGAGCCAATGGCTGCAGAAGTGATCATCACAAGCAGACATGCAAAGCCAAGGAAAGGAGCAATACATAAGCAGGCATATCAGGGAGTGGTTTGTTTCCGTCGGGAAATTCTCGTGGAAGCTTTCAATGTCTTCTCAGATATGGTAGTGTTCAGAAGGACTCAGACCAAGCCAGGGAGTCTGAAGTTCTCAGTAGGATTTTGCCAAAGACAGCCTCAGGCAGGACAGTGGCTTGCACGCTTGATGCAAAAGGTGGCTCAAACGAGTTCAACCTGAACCCTAAACCCTAAACTGAGCCTTAAATCCTGAACCCTGACCTACACCCTAAATCCTCAGCCCTAATCCCTAAACTAAGCCTTAAACCCTGAACCCTGGAACCCTGAACCCCAAACTAAAGCCTAAATCCTCAACCCTAAACCCTTCTGACTTCTACAGGCCCAGACCGGGCCAAGATGTCGACAGTCTCCTGGAAGACTTGGCCCCTGCCTGAGATTCCATCTTCAATTTAAAGCGGGGTACAATGAGGGGTCTATGAGGCTAAGGCATACTGTAGGGGATGCTGGAATCACTCAGATTAAGTTTGCTATAAGGGCTCTGTAGTGGCTACTGTTGCTACTCAAAGGCGGCTCTCTAGGCCTTCCCCTAGTAGTAGAGTGGGTAACCCTTAACCCTTTTTGGGCAGTATAGTCCCTATATAACCCCTATATAAGCAAAAGGCTAGCCTTAAAGGGTTTAAGGTTCATATACCATATCGGGATTCATAGTATATGCGTATAGGGCCCCTACTTTTAAGGCTCATTTGGTAGTCCAGGTAGAGTCCACATCCCGGAACCCTGGACCCAAACCCCTTAAGCAAGCCCTGGAAGCGACCCTTAAAGCCCCTTCAAAGGACCCTTAAAGACCACGTTAAGACCCCTTAAAGGAACCCTTAAAGGCCCCTTTAAAGGAGGGCTTCGGAACCTCGGAGTGTCGAGCATCTCTTTCCGAGGATGCCGCTCTCGTCACTTAGGCGCCCTGGCTTCGGTTTCGGGGCTTTGGGAGCTGAGAGCTCTTTACTTTAGTGTTGTTGGGAATTCTTGGCTGGCCTTCTAGGATGCCCAGTAGTACCCCTCCTTGTTCCCTCGTTGGTGGTTTTCGGTTCCCTTATACGACCATTCATAGAACAATGGCACCCTTTTTAATCGTAGGTTACCTAGCTTTTTGTTGCAATGAAACTCCAATGGGCCAGAGATGGTTCGTTGTTTTGGTTCCAAGGGCGCGCAAGTCTCAAGGTTACGGATACTCGAGTATTATTAGTAAGGGGGTCTAGGTTCGTTTGTCATTTTGTAGTTTTTTGTTTTCGGGGGGTGGAGTTTAAGGGGGGCCTGGGGTTTAGGGCTTCAGCGGCGTCTTTGTTTGTTGGATTTCTCAGGGATGTTTTTTTGGGGGCTGCTTTGAGAGTTCTGAGAGTTTTACGGGCCTGGGAGAGGGCTTGGGATATGGGCTTTGCGGTTTCCGGCTGCGGGGGGTTAGGGCTTTTGCTTCAGGGTTCTGATGTTTTGGATTTTAGGGTCAAGGGTTCGATTGCGATTTCACGTTCAGGGTTTAAAAGCTTGGGATTATTGATGGGCCTTTTTGTGCGCCAAAGCTGAGGATTGCCGAACGTGAGGAGGAGGTGGGAACGGTGGCGAGCCGAGCCGAGGGCAGTTCCTGGGCTTTTGTCGGGCCGAAGCGCGGCAATTCGTTCCAGGGAGATATCACAGTCAAGAGGCAGCCAGGCTTCGTCAAGAAAGCTTTGGACAGCGTCTGGAAGAGGCCTCGCCAGACTGAAACTATAGCGAAGCACTTCTGGCTTTCCCCGTCGCTGTAGCTCAAAACAAGCCCGCATGTTCTGTGGTGGCATGCCTTCACAAAATGTGGAGCGGCAGCACTTGCCTGCCATGAACCCCCCTGTGGGAAGAAGTTGATCGCCTCTACAATCCTGTGCGTGTTCTGGGTCAAAGAGGTCATCATCTTGCACAAGCCTGCAGCACAAGGGCGAGTTCCCCCACACCATGCACCTGCTCAGCTTGATGTGCCCACTCAGCTTCGGGTTTAGGGCTGGTTTAGGGCTTATAAGGGTTTTGGAATAAAGTTGATGGTCTAAATCCTGCATTACCTTAAGGACTCTAGACTATGGGAATTATGGTATATTCCTGATTATGGGTAATGTGGGATTTATATCATCAACAGTAGGGGTTGAGACGCTGCCGCTGGAGCAGATGGGCTCGGACAAGGCTTGCCTCTCCTGCTACATGTGCCACATCAAGCCCTTAAGAAGCCGCGACACCGACATCCTCAAGTGCATCGCGGACGGCTGTCGTTGTGACCTTTATGCCTGCCCCAAGTCTTGGACGTAACATAGAACTACCAACACTCTGGGATTCCGTAGTATAGGTATAGTATATATAATATACCCGTAGACCCTATTCTAGTTATTGAGGCCCCGACATTAGCCTGCTCTGACGTACCCTGCTCCTGCCGTCAAGCAAAGGGCCTAAGTTAGGGTTTGGGTTTTGGTCTAGGGTCTTATATAGGGTCAGGATTTTGGGTTTGAGGTTCAGGAAGGTGCCCCCGAAATCTTTCATGACCTAAAACAAAGCCCAAAAGGCCATAAGCACTAAGCCGTAGTATACCCTACCTTCTGGAAGACCGCAGGTTCGCAGAGGGCGCCCTTCTGCAGCTCGTTTTGCTTGGGCAAAACTCCGCACGTTGGACCCTACGCACTGCCCCAACAATCCGATGAAGAAGCCTGACTGAATGCTTAGTTCCAGTGTTCTTTAGGGTTCTTAGCTAGCATAGCTATACTTGATAATACACCCCCCCAAATCCTATTTCAATGATTTGCGGCCTTGCATTTGGCAATTTGCCATGAATACCATCACGTTGACTGTGATGCCCGAGAACCTGATCCTTGAAAGTCACAACGTACAGATTCCGAGCCCCGAGTCCCTGCGCTTAGTGTTTAGGACCCAGAGTAAGCCCTTATTCCCTTTTTTAGGCTTCAGGTTCGCTTGTAACCCCCTTTAAAAACCGAAAGGGGCACTCTTTCCATTCCTGGCCTCTTAGCTCTGGTGTTCCTTGCCTCGATGCCATAGGGGACTTAAAACCCTAGGCCCTATACCCTAAATCTGCACTAAGAACTAAGAGTGTCTTGAGGAGTGCTGTGCCTAGAAGAGCCCTACGTCCCTAAGACCAACAGTAGCCTGAGCACCATCTTGAAGCCTCCAACTCTGAACCTTTAGAAAACTTAGCGGCTTAGCAACCTGATCCCGACCCTAAACCCTAAATCCTAGACCCAAATTTGAAAACCTGACCCTGACCCTAAACCCTGATCTTTAGGTTGGAATTGATTAGCTTGACGGCCCGGGGAGCTGTGGCTGCAGAGGCCAGTTGCAACTCCCTGCGCCGTGTCTCACGCGCGGCAGTCCGGAAAGCTGTGTAGGACCTGTAGGGACCTCGTATAATCAGAATACTATAGGGGCTTCAAAAATTGCTTATACTATTTTGGGGGGTTCCTTGTTATTTTTGTTATAGTATAATAGGCCCCAACACCCTGTTCTAATTATTAAGGCCCCTATATTCATCAGAATAGGGTTCCTCAGCAGCGGGGTTCCGTTACAGGGGGCTTTGACGATAGTAGCATAGGGTCTCCAAGGAAAACTGTTGCTGCTTTTTCTATGTCATACTGTATAGGCCCTGTGGGGCTTAGGACTCAGGTTCGGGGTTCATGGTTCACTCTTCGTAGGGATATGTAACCACAGCCTTTTGGTAACTATTTACCCTGAGGCTCTAAGGACTTATCTTGCAAGGCTCTGGTTCTCAAAAGCCATACTATCCGAGGCTGTTGGGCCTACGATTCAGTGCATTAGGGGGGTGAGGGTTTAGGGATTAGGGATTTGGGGTTGGGGTTTAGGGTTTAGAGTTTAAGGTTTTCAGTTTAGGGTTTAGGGTGGATTTAAGGATGTCGTCAGCATCAGAAGCTTGCAGATACAACCTTCTGCTGCCCAGAACATGCCGCAGGCCAGGGGTGTTACAATGAATCTCGTGCCAACCTATTTATCTGAGACGGCGCTTTCCCGGCTGGCGCGTCATGGCACGTTTTGGACGAATGTCCAGCGAAGCAACCATCGCATCGATTCTTGTAGCTTTGACTGGCTCTCTATGGTTTGACAGGAGATTCGGCATTTCTAGCCGACGCACCTAGCCGCGAACCTCCATTATGATTACTCTCTAAACCCTAAGCCACTAAGCCTATATACCAACCCTAAAACCACTCCTAAACCCTAAACCCTAAACCCTAAACCCTAAACCCTAAACCCCTAAATCCCTAAAACCCTAAAGCCCTATCCGTAAAAACCTAAAGCCCTAAACACTAAAACCCTAAACGTCTGAAGCTCAAAGGCCCCTACACCAAATCCTTATAATGCCCTTCTGGTAATCCTTATAGACCCCTTTAAAGGAACCCTAGTCTAATTATTACGGCCCCTATACTAAACCCTTATAGATCCCTTATAGTAGCCCCTAAAGCCCTAAACACTAAAATCTCTAAACTGTTGGCTTTGCGGAACTCCTTGCTCCGAATCTCGAAACTACACAAGGCCAAATCCTGAACCCATAAACATCTCTAAGCTATGGTATACAGGTTTAGGGTTTAGGGTTTAGGGTTTAGGGTATACAGCATTGCCGAATTGGGTGTTAACACAAGTTAGCTCTGACGCGTGAATCGTCGGTAGTCAGCCAGCCGCTCAGAAATCGACATCCCGGAAGCTCCTGACTCCTACATTTAGGGACCCCAAAAGGGCCTGAGCATAAGCATGTTTGGGGGTTCTCATACCTTACTGGGCTTCATTATAAGGCACCAAAGATTCCGTGAGAGCTAAGATATGTCAGACAGAATCAAGAGTTGCGAGCCGCTCGAACGTGGAGTTGCTGCCGATGGCGAGCAGTTGTCACGCCAAAGTCCTCGGGGAAGACCCTAGCTCATTGTTTAGGGTTTAGATTGGATGTAGCCGTATTAAGTGCAGCAGGGACATAGGGTAGGGACCTGTCAGGGTCCATGTCCTTGCAGATTCAAAGGCACCTAGACCTAAACCCTTATCAAGGAACTTCAGTATCTTGACAATCGCTCATGCGTGATCTGGGGATTGATTGCCCGACATATGCTGAAGACCACACCCAGAATGCCTATACAGGGCCGGGTAGATGAATGACCTACGGTTTGAGGGCCTCCGAGGCTGATACCCGGATCCCTGTGTCTGCTTGAAGCTTAATTGCCATTGTGTGCTGGATTTTTCTTGGGGATATGATTACTTACACGTTCACAGGTATCTTACTGGTAGCCCTGCTTCTACACAGGAACGCATGAAGCTCCAAGACTCTACGACTCTAAGTATGCTTCAGATGTTGTTCTGAAACCCTTCTTACTGTAGACTGTGCCTGTAACCCTAAAGCCCCACAGCCGTCGTAGCCCACAACCCTACGACCCTAAAGTTGGAAAACCCTAAAGCCCTGACGTTTTGAAGACCGAAATCCTAACATGCTGCTGTGGATTCGCCCTTGTCCCTGGGCCCTCCCTGTGCATTGTCGGACACGCTCAACGTCTTCGACAAGTCTTCGAGGGGGCGGAGTTCCAAGAGCTCCGCCGACCTGAAGATGACGAATCCTTCTGCCGATGAGCCAAATCCTGCATGTACTGTTTTAGGGAGTTTAGGGTTCAGGGTCTAGGGTTTTGGGTATAGACTCCTGCATGTTTTTTTTGGGTCTTAAAAGGTGTAGTAACGGTCTTCCCTTATAGCCCCTTAACTTACCATCTTCAAGCCCCTACATTGTTGCTTCATAAAGGTTCTTTGAGGTACTAAACGGTGCTATGCGTGTCCTATGAGGTTTCCAAATCGTCCTTTACTGTTTTTCCTTTGAGGTTTTGCTATTGATATCATAACAGGGCTCTAGCGTTCAGGTGCTTCTAGGGTACTGATCGTAACTTCCCAG